CAGCCATCAATTAATCACATGCTTGTATTTAGAGAAGAGCTATTTTATTCTATACTCCGGGACATTGCTGATCCCCGCGTTGGATAGAATTATTCAAGCCATCCTGCTGGCCACATGGGGTACTGCAACCACAACATTTTATCTGTTTGTCTTCAAACAAAAAAAACCCCAAAAAAACCTCATCCATCTGCTCATCTTAAACCTTCTGTTTATGTAATAATGTTTTCCACATCTGACGTCTGACACCGGGAGTCCAGGAAGTCGTGAATGAGACAATAAACACCTCCTAATCCTATATACAGCCAATGACGCACGCACTGACACACACTCTGCCTCTTTAACTGCACATTACCAACAGTGAAGGAAGTGGAATATGAATATTTAAAACCTCTATACATAGCTTATGTAAAGCGTTCATGAAAGTGAATGTTTATTTTAATGATTACAGCTAAAAATGATGGCAACAGTACAATTACCAGAACACCAAACAAATGAGTTCCTGGTACTCTATCGTAAAGTGTAAGTACAGTATGAGTTACATTAGGAAACACTGCAGCTGTCCGCTCACACTGGACACAAACCTCACTGGTAAATCCTTAAACTAAGACCAGTTTTATTTGCTTGTTTGACTTTTGTAATCCCACTTCCTGTATCACCTTTCTCTAACTCTAAGTAATTGTTTTAACTGGGAGGGTTGCAGTTTTCAGGCTTTATTTTATTTATTTTTTGGGGAGGTTCAGTCAACCAACAGCAGTTACACCTTCAAAAAAAACCCAGATAAAGACAAATATAGTCTCAGTTCATGAACGCAGTATTTAAGAATGTAAACACTGTGTGGGGTTGGATTTATTTTGCTCACGTATCCTGTTCAGATCTCTGCCACTTGAGTTTCATTGTTCCCGTCCCAGCGGACACTTGACGAGAGGCAAGATACACCATCTACACGTCGCCCGCCTGTTACACCCAGGTTAACATTTATAATAACAATAAATAGTAAGGCTGCGGGCGGCACGCAACGCAACGGGCCCGGGCACCTGCTCATGCATGTCATGTAACCCAGGTGTGAGTCCATTATTCTACGATGCTGTTTGGAAAAGAAATAACTGATTCCTGTTAAGAAAATGTTCTCAGGAAACATTTTTCTGACGTACGAAGACCAGACACACGTGCCTGTCGTGTTAGGACCCTTATAACTAACACGTCTTGTTTGTGAATTTGTGTTTTGCGAGTTCAAGTTCCAGCCTGTTTTGGAGTGAGAACATGATACGACTTCAGCCCTTTAAGACTTTCATTTCATTAATTTAATGCCTTTCACGCTACTTTGGATCACATCACAATTTGATCCACCGTAAAAACCATTCAAAACCACATGATCTGAATGAATAAACAGAGCTGCAGAGGTGGATTTGGAGGCAGCATCCATAAGTGGAAACAGACTGGTGCAGGTTTGTTTGTGGAGAGAGTTGCAGAGACTGGGAGCAGCAGCACCAGTGGAGGCTCTGGGACCAGTGAATGTCAGTGAACCTGAGGTGAAGGTGGAGGTAAAATGGTCAACTTTTTCAACCTCTGATGAGTTTCTTCAAAGACTGCGGCCTACATATGGAACCTGTGTTTCCTGGACTACAGTAGGGTCACAGTGATAGTGTGGATGTGGATGTTAGAGTGAGAAGAAGAGTGAGCTGTTGATGTCGATGATTTCAGACCAACTTGCAGTTCAGAGGCTCCAATTAACCTGCATGTGTTTGGACTGTGGGAGGAAGCCTGGGTATTAACCACACACAGGAAAGGGAGAACACACACACACACACACACACACACACACACACAAACTGCTTCCATGCTACCCTCATTTCCTGATAATCAACCAAACAAATAAAAAGTAATCTGTTTAAAGTACGCTTGGAGAAACTCCCAGGGCATTAAAGTGAAGTTTAAGACTTTTATATGATGTAAACATCAAGATTTCTAGGTGAAAAAAAAGAAAGATCTTGTTGCCAAAAAACAAAAAAAAACTGAGCAAACTGCAACTGCCAGCACTCCCCGAGCAGAACTTACTGAGAAATTGATTTCAGTGTCAGATGAAGTGGAAACTGAGGATTATTGGAAAAAAGCACTTTTGCCTAAAATT